GTTGTTGTTGTTGTTGTTGTTGTTGTTGTTGTTGTTGTTGTTGTTGTCGTTGTTGAGCACTTTGATAACAGGTTCTGTTTTAAATGTGCTCTATAAATAAAGTTGACTTGACTATATTAGTGGTGGGTTTAAATTTTGTAAATAATTTAATTTTACACTAAATTAGCAATGTGTTGTGTTTATAGTTTTACATTCCATCCATCCATCCATTATCTTTACCTGCTTATTCCATTTTGGGTCATGGGGGTCGCTGGTGCCCATGTCCAGCAATCACTGTGCGAGGGGCGGGGTACACCCTGGACGGGTCGCAAGTCCATCACAGGGACACATAGAGACAAACGAGACAAACAACCATTCACTCTCTCACTCACACCTAGGGACAATTTAGAGTTATCAATCAGCCTAACATGCATGTTTTTGGTCTGTGGGAGGAAACCGGAGTACCTGGAGAAAACCCACGCATGCACGGAGAGAACATGTAAACTCCACCCAGAAAGGCCCCTGGACCGGGGTTTGAACCAGGGACCTGCTCGCTGAAAGGCAGCAGCTCTACCAGTTGCGCCACCGTGCTGCCCTTACATTACATTCATTTGAGTTTATTTATATTGCACCAATTCACAACAAATGTATCGAGGCACTATACAAAATAATAATAATAATCCAACTGATCCTAGTTATCAAAATTAAGCTCAGTCATTTCTAATTTGTTTAAATAATTTTGATTAAAGGAAACCTACAGGAGGAAGCCACATTCAACATTGCTGTTGAATGTTATTTGTATTGTTTGATGTTGAATAACTGATTTGATTTTTTTAGATTACAAGTGTTATATTTTTTAACAATAATAGCAATGAAGTAAGTCATGTACAGTATATATACCTTGCTTGACATCTGTATATGGTGGATATCAGTACTATGAACCTGGATGCGCTCCTTCTCAGTGCACGCCGCCTCGTACGATGTTGTCTCGCCCGCCTTGCTTGAAAAACAACACTCACCATGGTCTTTTGCCTCATCTTCCGCTCATGCAGAGTCCATTGTTGAAAAATGTTTGTTTGGCACATGTGCCACAGACAATACATTAAACCTAATACCGCTAAAATTTGACACCACTCCATTTTTGTTTTTCTTTACAGACGAAGAAGTGTCTTTTTCTGAGGTTTTCGCGTTGTTTCAGTAGTTCTTGGTGCAGCGCCACCACAGGAGAGTGGGAGAACAGGTTGGTTCGAAGAGGTTGGCTCGACTGCACAGTGCAGTGTGAATGCAACCGCACCAGCTGGAATGTAAACACAATGTTATGAATATTGGTCCCCAACCAAACCGAGTCTACCGGACTAACGGGTGTGAAAACGACCTTATGCGGGCCAGAGTTCGCATTTTCAGTCAGTCAGAGTCAGAGTTTCTTTATTGACATTCGCACCTCATGTGGTACATGTGGTGGAGCGAAATTATGTACACAAGGTCCCAGTTACATCCAACAATAAAATGTATAAGAAAAACAGTAATAACATCTAAGTTATGAACTAAGAAAAACCTCAACTAAATATCTAAAAAAGTTAAATCTGGTCCTCTGGACGTTTAAAAAAACAAAACAAAGCAAATCAACAAAAAAATGTAGAAACGTTTCCCTCAGGGATGAAGATGTTCACATCCTGGACAGAGAGGAACGATGGTTTGAGAGAGGAGTAAAGGAGGCCATCTTTGTGAAAAGAAATCGTCCATCATTAAACAGGGGTGGAGGCCTCCGGGTTCAACTGTCCCCCTCTTACAATGCTGTGATTGCTAGTATCACTCAGCTCCCTGTGAATAGTAAACAGCCATCAGTGTGTTAATGATCCATTGTTAGGCTGATGGTCCTTCTTGAGCATGTGATCAGCTGGTTTTGGTTGTCAGCAGCAAAACTGGTTGATCCACTCTGAGAAGGTGCTATTTAAGAGACTGAGCTGAATACAGCACCTCAGACTGAGGAAGTCTCTCGGATGAGAGACAAAACGTTTCTACATTTTTTTGTTGATTTGCTTTGTTTTGTTTTTTTAAACGTCCAGAGGACCAGATTTAACTTTTTTAGATTTTTCTACCTGGATTATTGAGCATGCATCAGGATATCAACTAAATATACACTAAGCACTCATAACATAAAACATTGAACATCAGCACAAACATGAACATGAGTCTGTGAGCAGATGTGCACGCATGAACACATCAACATTGAAACAGATCAGCAGCAACATGAAACCGATCAGCAGCAACATAATGTGGTTTTTCACAGTGATTATTCTAGTTAGAGATTCATGAGTCTAACAGCCTCAGGGTAGAAGCTGTTCCTCAGTCTAGTGGTTCTACACTTAATGCTCCTTAACCTCCTTCCTGAGGAGAGTGGGGCAAAAAGTGTGTGTGCTGGGTGAGTGGGGTCCTTCATGATGCAGGTGGCCCTCTTCCTGCATCTGGAGGTGTAGATGTCTGTGATGGTGGGGAGGCTGATTCCGACAGATTTCTGTGCAGCCTTCACCACTCTCTGCAAAGCTTTTCTTTCTGCAGCTGTGCAGCCTCCATGCCACACGTTGATGCTGGAGCACAGGATGCTCTCCATTGCACACCTGTAGAAGGAGGTGAGGACTGAGCTTCCCAGACTAGCTCACCTCAGCCGTCTGAGGAAGTAGAGTCTCTGATGAGCTTTCTTGATCAGGCTGGTGGTGTTGTTGCTCCAGCTGAGGTTGTCATTCATGTGTACACCCAAGTACTTGGAGCTGGAGACCACTTCCACCGCAGATCCTCTTATGTTCAGGGGGGTGTAGATGTTTTTGTTCCTTCTGAAGTCCACAATCATCTCCTTTGTCTTCTTCACATTGATGTGAAGGTTATTCTCTTTGCACCAGCTCTCCAGGTGTTCCATCTCTTGCCTGTAGCTGGACTCATCATTGTTTGTGATGCATCCCACCACCGCTGTATCATCTGCAAACTTTACAATGTGACAGCCTGGATGGGTAGCTGCACAATCATACGTGAGCAGAGTAAACAGGAGGGGGCTCAACACACATCCCTGAGGAGAGCCAGTGCTGAGGGTTATGGTGGAGGAGGAGAAGTTGTGGATCCTCACTAACTGTGGTCTGTTTGTTAAAAAGTCTAGTACCCAGTTGCAAATGGAGGGGCTTAGTCCTAGTGTGGATAGTTTGTCCATCAGGGTTTGGGGGATCATGGTGTTGAAGGCGGATGTGAAGTCCACAAAGAGCATACGGACGTAAGAGTTTTTCTGCTCCAGGTGGTTGAGCGCAGTGTGGACCACAGAGGAGATGGCATCCTCTGTTGATCGGTTCTCACGGTATGCATACTGATGAGTGTCCTCGTTCATGTTGATGGTTGTTTTGATGTGAGTCATGACCAGTTTTTCGAAGCATTTAGCGACTATCGGGGTGAGGGCCACTGGCCGATAGTCATTCAGACCAGTCACTGTAGAGCTTTTTGGGACTGGGATGATGGTGGCAGTCTTCAGGCAGGTGGGAACTGTCTCCAGGGTAAGTGAGGTGTTAAAGATGTCTGCCAGCACCTCACAGAGCTGATCAGCACATTCCTTCAACACTTTTCCGGGGATGTTGTCTGGGCCAGTTGCCTTGTGCGTATTAATCCTCCTGAAAGTACTCCTTACTTCTGCTGAGGTCACGCTGAGATGCTCTTCATCCGGTGGTGAGGTGAGTCTGGTGCTGGGTGGTCTGTCACCAACTCTGTCACCTATTTTTGTTAGGTGACAGAGTTCAATGGCATTCACACCTCTCCAATTGAACCGGACTTCCTAGGCAAACGGGCTAGAGTTCGGGACAACAGGGCTGGTGTGAATGCACTTTAAGTGTTTGAGCTTAAAGTGCAATCAATACACAACAGCGTGAGTAAAAACAATAAACTGAGACTTATTGAGTTTGGCATAAATAAATAGTTCCTTGCCTTAGTGCTGAGAAATCCCTTCGTATAATGTTTGGTGTCACTGTGAAGCTTAATATAGGGCTTGAATTCTTGATGACATTATTCTAGACCGATATTAGTTGAGTTTTCAAACCAGTTTTCCAACCTAGCTTGTTGCCAGGTGATGAATTGCCTAATTTCAACAAACTACCGGTACATATAATTTTGAAGCTTTTATATAGGGAATTTGAAAATAATAATAATTCAATATCTAATAAAGTGTCTCATTGGGACTCGTTTTGCAGCATGGGTCACAAATAACACTGCTCTCTTTTCTTTTGTTATTCAGCAACATCTGCAGGCAGCCCTGGTTACCACAACGACGACGGGCCTCCGACTTACTACGACAACGAAGACTTCACCCGCTCCGGCTTTGAGGATAAGAACATTCGACAAGCCTTTATAAGAAAAGTAAGTGAAGCAGGTGACTTAGTCAAACAGGTAATAAAACAAATACCTGTACAAGTAATAAATCTTAAAAACGTCTCAAAAATATCTCTCCCCCTCCATCAGGTTTTCTCAGTTCTCACCGTGCAGCTGCTGGTCACTTTCTCCTTTGTTGCCGTCTTCACTTTTGTTGCTGATGCCAAGTACTTTGTACGCCGTAATCCATGGACGTACTACGTGTCCTACGCAGTCTTCTTTGTGTCTCTGATTGTCCTGAGCTGCTGCGGAGACTTTCGTCGTAAACACCCGTGGAATTTGGTTGCTTTGGTAAGAACTCGCCCAAATAATTATAAAGATCAACCAGTTCATATCAGCCTAATCCATTTTACAAAGATAAGAAATTATTAGACGTGTGAAAAGGTAACTGTTGGGAGTATTATAGATGGGTTTATGACAGGGAGGGTTGTACAAGTGCAAAAAGACGCTCTAAATTCTGAAATAGGATTAGGCAGACAGTTTGGGATATGAACCTTATCAGTGAGAAAGTGTTGCTACATTTTCAGTTTGACCGTAAAACTTTTTTTTTCTTGTAGTCCATTTTGACGTTGAGCCTCTCCTATATGGTGGGCATGATCGCCAGCTTCTACGACACAGAGACGGTCATCATAGCTGTGGGCATCACTGCAGTCGTCTGCTTCACCGTCGTCCTCTTCTCTCTGCAGGTCAGCACAGATGTCCACACGCTCAAACACTGTCCTTCTGATTAAGTGTTTGAACTTTAATGGAAGCATTTGAGTGAATATTCTCTTAAGTTTTTCCACGCTGACGAGCTCACTCAAAGATACTGAAGTTGTTCTCTCACTCTACCGTTGGTGTTTTGCAGCATTTCACTTTGTCTTTTTTATGTCTTTCATTTTTTCAGAGCAAGTATGACTTCACTTCCTGTCGGGGCGTTCTTTTTGTGTGCCTCATTGTTCTGCTGCTCTTCTCCATTCTCTGCATCTTCATCCGCAACAAGATCCTGCACATCTTTTACGCCTCAATGGGCGCCCTGCTCTTCACCTGCGTAAGTTTACTACACTCGTATTATAGTGAAACAACTTTTTATACCATTAAATACATCTTTTGAGTTTGTTCATTTTTTCCTTATTAAGGATAGTTTTAAATAATTTTTGACAGACCTGAAATTTTGTGGAAGTATGTTTAGTTTGTGGTTATTATTAATGTTTTATTTTTTTATGTAGGCTGGATTACTGGTTTTCTTCAGCTGCTGTAACATTATATTCACTTGCATGTCCGTCTGATGTGCTCTGTTACACACACACACACACACACACACACACACATACACACACACACACATACACACACACACACACACACACACACACACACACACTTTAACGAAAGACAAGCTAAGAACAAACAAAATTGAAAATTACTTCCTTTAACCCCCACTGTCAAAGCCATTTACATCAAATGGGGATCAAGCAACTTTAAACAGAGGACGAGGTCTCACATTGCAGCTTTCTCAAACTTGCAATACCTGCCGGTAAAGGACGTTTCACTTTGGGACAAATTGCGATCACCGATTGGTCAGTTGCTGACGAGCCTACTGGACTGATTGACAGATGGTGTCATGTCAATTACCAAATAGAATGCAATTTGTTTTATTTAATTTTTTTCGTAAAAAACAAGAATCTGAAAATGTGCTTTATTCGTTTTTTCCAAATTTGGCTTAATCCTTGGTTCAATGTGATGGGTCACTTATATTTTGTCCAAGGATGATTATATGGTGTGTGCTACCAGAACGTTGGAAACACGATTTTTGTGTTATCTCAGATCCGAACGTCTGAAGCTTCTGAAGTGACTAATTTCTCCTCGACTTTCTTCTGCATGCAGTTTTTGGCTGTTGACACTCAGCTTCTTCTGGGCAACAAGAAGCTGGCCCTGAGTCCAGAGGAGTACATCTTTGCTGCGCTGAACCTCTACACTGACATCATCAACATTTTCCTCTACATCCTGGCCATTGTGGGTCGCTCCCGTGAATGAGCCTGCACCTTCAGAAGAGCAGCTGTTAAATGAAGAACGCCTCCCTTTATTGTGAAAAGTTTCTAACGTGCTCTTTCTCTCTGTCTCATTAAATCTCTTATCCCTCACGCACACACACACAGTTCTGTTTTCCTTCAACAGGTGTGCTGTGGAGGAGATGCAGCATGCCATAAAATTCAACCCTTGATGTTTAAGACAGTGTAGTGATCTGCTGTCACTCTTGTTGTTCCTCCTTTGACTACTAACACAGTTCTGTGCACATCACACACCTAACAAGCTTCCAGTATGACCCGAGACTTCAGAATAAAACGCTCTGGGTGCTTGGCACTCGGTCTTGCCTTGCTGCAAAAATTGTGGGAAAAAGATATGCTTTTTATTAACATGAAACCAGTGTTTCTTGAAGAAAAGATATTAATACTTTTTTTGTTTTGTTTTTGGTCTGTTTTCACAAACCTCTTTCTCGGACTGCTGGTGCAGACGAAATGTGCATGGCAAAATTGGAAGCACGATGCTGTTAAATTCTGTAGATTAGAGCGAAGCCTCTAGTAGCTATCTTCTAGCAGCTGTATAAATTTCAATGTATTACTGTTACCAGCACCCCCCCCCCCCCCCCCCTTCTCCTTCCTACCTCTGAAAGGCATGCTGGAGCGATTCACGTGGTTGTTGCTTTCTGAAGAAAATGTGCACTACGGTCTGAATGTTTTTGACAGATATAACAAATTATTATTATTTATTAACGATGGAAAGATTTTTACGTTCTAAATTTTTGATGTCTTGCCATAGATGATTTCTGTTCTCGTCTTTACTACTTCCCTCTTGTGTGGTCATTACTGTGTACTGAAGCCTGTTGTATTATTTATTTCTCATCCGTTTAATAAAAAGTTTATTCTGACAGAAGGATGGAGTAAATAGATGCTGGACGTGAAGGAAGTTCAAACAGATGTGTCTGAGCTGTACACAGCAGTGCTGATGTGAAACTGGTGGAGTCACAGAATGAAGCAAGAGATTGTAAAGTCATAAAACACATTTAGCAATTAAATAACTGTCTTATGCACTAATCGCCAAACACACAAAAAAAGTGAAGGATGTGTTTAACATGAATATTTTTACTATAGCATTTTCTTAATCGTACCTCTTGCATGACCCTTGTCATTGTTTGCATGTGCAAAATGCACACAGTTATTTTGGGTGGACACTGATGATTGGAGTCGCTGATAGATTTTTATTTTTTTTTAATATTGTGTTTGCATCCAAGTAACATGTACATGTACATAAGACGCTGTAGTGTTTTGATGTGTATAAACTAGGTTTGGGCTTTAAACGTTTGTTCACATTGTAAATTAGCTTCAAATTGAAGTTGGACTGGATTCCTCTACACTGCTGTTAGCTTTTCAATAAAATCAAGATGTGTAAAGGTGTTGAACGTTGTGTGATTTTTAATTTTTTTTATTATATTATTAACCAAAAATTACACAAGATAAAGAAAATGTTTAATGTTACTGTAAAGGGTTTTTTTTTTTTCACTTGAAATTTTAAAATAAGGGGGACAAAAACAATACTTTTATGATTTTTGGATATAATAAATCTTAAAAGTTGCATAAGTCTTTTTTTAATGTTAATACAAATGACTTACAGATATCTTCAAGGTAACGGGTAAGAAATGATTTAAACTGTGCGCTTTTATTTTGGCCTTGCTTTAAATGTGATCCATTCTGGCAAAATTAGTAAGTTTAATGTTTAATTTAGTATAAACATTTGAGATTTGTGTCAAAGGTAGACACTAGCAATCCCACTAACTAAATATATATAATCTTCCTAATCAAACTTTAAACGAACATCTTCTAAAAGGCATGCCTTTACAAATAGTTATTTGTCTTAAAACCGTTATAATTTCCTTTGAAATTTACAGTTTTCTCTTCTGGCTGGGAAATCCCTTTGTATAATGTTTGACATGAACCTTGGAGATTTCCGTTTTTAAGAATAGAGTTGGAATCGTTGCCAGTCCAGGTGATGAAATGACACATTTTAACAACCAAACCAAGTATCATTTTGAAGCATTTGAGAGAGAAAATTGTTGAACTTTGAAACTATAACTCAATTTAGAAAAAAAATAAATAAATCCATATTGTGACTCACTTTTCAATCAGAAATATGAGAATTCCATTCAAATTTAGAAGTCCTAATCTCTGAGATTACAGTACAAAATGTCAACTGGATTGATTTTCAAAGTTTTGATTAGGAAAGTCTCCAACAATCCAAAATGGCACCCATACACTTGAAGCTGCTGTTTCCACTTCTGACAGTTTGAATCTAATTAAAATCAACTACTGTACACAGATTTTTCTACCTCTATTAGAGAATGTTAAATGCTTAATTTTCATTCAAATACCGGTTTGAAAGTCGAAATTATGACTTTGAAAGTCAAAATTATGACTTTGGAAGTTGAAATTATGACTTTATCTCATAATTATGACTTTGAAATTAGAAATTATGACTTTGTATCTCTTAATTGTGACTTTAAAAGTCGAAATTATGACTTTGTATTTCATAATTTTAACATAATATTGGACAGTATTATTTATTTTCAATTGCGCAAACGGGCTTCCATACTTTGGCGACTCGCGCCACCTCTCGTCTTCAGGATAGTTTAGTGCATTCTAGTGGACAAAGTTTGGACCCACGGCTTTATTTGGTTAATCATGGATGAAAAAGGCGGTACGAGGCCCAACACTTAAATATATGAAGACTCAGTTACTTATTAACTACAAAAGTGGGTTAAGGTTCCGGTTTTTTTTTTTTATAGCTTGAGAGACTTCACCTGAAATGTCCTCATATTAGCTAAAGTTAGCTAAAACTGTTTTCAGCTGGAAACCCTCTTAACGGTTTCAGTCGAAGGGTAGAGGATTTACCTGTTTTATACTTTTAAAGTTTATAGAATGTATATAAAAACCTCAAATAATTTGTTTATATTTTCCGTATAATTACAGATTTATCTCTGACTGATTTTATACACATTTATTCTTATTTGTTTTTTCTTGGTACCCTAGCTTAATCAGAAAATTGTGGAAAATAAGGATTTTTTTTTTTTTAACATTTATATTTATTTATATGTTAAAGACAGGATACACAATTGAAGACACAATTAACGTTACGCATCTGAAAGAAGGACAATAGCAACAAAAATAAAAATTTAAAGTCTGAAAATGATTTTTTTTTTCTGTCCACTTCTGACAGGTGCAAAATTACAGGAACCTAAAGTTGAACAGTTGCTGGACAAGCTTAGGGAGCTGCGAAGAGGTATTAGTATGAGGTTTTAATTTTACTTGTGTACTTTTTGCTCAATTGTTTTATGGTTTAAAGTTATACTTCTATGTGACTGGGAGAAAATATTGTGCAGACCCTAATTTTTGGGACTAGAAAATATCGGCTGTTCTGTTAGTTTTAATATAGTTCAGCCAAGGAATCCCAGCTAATTTATTCTAGGTTGAATGCTCACATTTAGTGCTTGGTTTGAGATGACATTACTATTTTTGGTTAATCTCGTTTGCATTAAACAAAGACTACAAATTAGGGTAGCGAAGTCACTGTTACGTATTTCCGTCTTCGTGTCTAAGTGCCCGACATGTTTGCAGTTATAATGTATAGTAATGTATCGGAAGTTGGGGATTTGTAGCAGTATGTTGACTTACATAAATAAATTATTAGAAGATATTATTTATCCAACAATGCGTCACTTCAAACTACACACAAATGACGCGAAGGGCAATTTCATTTGCTAATAAAAATCCGACTTGGCGGGTGGGGTAATTCTCTTGACTCGACGTCTTTGTTACGTTACGCTTCCGCTAATAAATAGTACTTTCTATTTACATTCCCTAAAATCCTTTAAAATTTTAATGGCATTATATAAATTTCTAATAGTACAAGAACATCGCTAAACATGAAATCCTTCCATTAGAAGGTCTAATTTCGGTATAAATCTTTGTTAATGTGCGCACCAATGAGAACGCACGTTGCTTTGACGACACGCAAACGAACGTTCACTTCCGCCTCAGTTTAAACGAATTTAAAGAAAATACAGCCCAACATTTAAACGCAGCCCAGTTCGAACCCATGCTTAGACGTACAGACATTCAGGTACATCTGCCATGTGAAGTTTAGACTTGAAGGTAATTTTAAAACCGTGAGTAAGACGGCTGTTCATACCTCCTATATCGTTTCTTTGAACGTAATCCAGTATCTTCAGTGAGGTATATCCTTACCTGTTACTCCACTTGTGGAGTTGCAGAACATGATGAATGGAGTTCAATGAGATATGATTAGTATCTCCAGCTTGTTGGGACCGACAACTCCCTTCAAGACCCATTCTGATCTATAAATTGTTTAAAGTTATAAACTGTCTCTGCCAGTATGTGTGCTGGTGTTTACTTCTCATCTAGTGTGTTGCATGTCATTTTCAAGGTAAAAATGTTCTGGATGAGGAAAACAATAATCTGGAGTCTGTCACTGACAAACTGCAGACAGATCTGGAAAAATGTAAGCGCTGATCGGTTTGATTTATCAAAGCTTTAAGTCGTGTTGTGTACAGTATTTTGTGCTAGTATCAGTGTTTTTGTTTTTGCAGTACAAGCTGAAGCTTACCAGCTGCAGGGGATTTATCAAGAAAAAGAAGGTGAACTTGTGTTGGAAGTGAACATCTTTCATACAGTGTGTAGTTGTTTGCTGTGTTGGTGTGCGTTGGGCTTTTTAGTGAATGTTTTAGAAATGAGCGTGATTACAGTGCTTTTTTTTGTGTCAGAGTTGTGCAGGAAGCTGCAGTTCAAATGTGAAGAGTCTGAGCAGGAATCTAAAAGGTAAACTCAATGCACCAGTAAATGATGATAAGCCATTAACCTGACCAGTCAGATTGTGGTTTCGAACACTAGATGGCAGTAACATTCAAATATAACATCTATCTAAGGCTGACGATTTTTATTCTCGTCTTTATTTTGAGTACTTCTTTATTTTAGTTAATTCATACATGCTTCTTAGCAATATATTCGCTGTGTAACACTTGGCTGGACCTTGATTTAATGTCTTAAGGGAAATAATGAAATAGAGCTTTAGGATAAACCTTTAAAATTGAAAAGTGTCAAATTTATTAGCAGTGCACTCAAGGTATCCTTACTGTAAGTAAAAGGCTGTTTAGGAAATCTGGGGCAACGCTTAAAGTTTCGACAGTTTGCTTTGTTGCTCTGTTGAAGACCTAAACCAGCTCGGTGGGATCTGGTGGAACGGCATGTCTTTTCATCTTGTGTTTTGGGTCATTCTCTTGCCTTGGAGCGAAGACGGCCTGTCCGACAAGCCTGGCAGCCATTATTGCTCGCTCATTTGGAAGCAAGTTGCAGAATAATTTCCCGCCGTCCATCATTGTCCTCATACATTATTGGAGGTTGTAACAGTTTGGTCCTACTTCTGTCTGCATGACCTTTTTTATTTTGCAAGACAGGTCTTTGTTGTGCATTCTTGCTCTGCAGGCCTTTGTATGTGAAGTTTGAATGTTTTTCCTGTACCTGTAGGGTAAACTGGTTTGTTTGTTCTTGTTTTTTTGTCTGCCCTAACCCTGACCCACCATTTTTCAGATATATGTCTCTAGTTATAAACATTAATTGTTAATAAATGGCTCCAGATGTGCGTTAATAAAACGATAAATTAGTCCTTTTTGCCACAAAAGCTCATTTGTGTTTCATGTCAAGTGCAACTAGCTCCCAAAAGTCTGCAGCATAAACAGCTAACCTCTGAGTGAACGCACAGTAAAGTATTGATGAAACGTTTGTTTTGTAGACAGCTGAAGCAGAGCGAGACGAGCGAGGAACTGCTGGAACAGTACAGATGTGAAATCCAGGAAGTGAAGCTTAAACACAGGAAGCTGCGGTACGTGCAAATGATGCTGTGATTAACTGCAGTTCAAACCGAACGACATGTTACAGTTTACTAAAACTGTGTTTTCTGTTTGAATAGGATGAGATTTGAAAAGCAACTTCAGCAGCTGATAGAGCAACACAAGCAGCTGCACACGGTCTTTGTAAGGTTATTTCAAGGTTATGTTCTTATCAGTTCCTACTGTTGGAAGATGGAGTGTCTTGTTGATTTTGTTCTTTAAATTCTTACTTAGACCTCCGAGAGACTCCCAGATGAAGTGACGAGCGCTGAAAATACAAAAAGTCAACTGTTGTCAGCTGGTAAGTGACCTCATTGTCCCCCCAATTATCAGAATCAACGTTGTTGTACAGTTAAGTACAGCGACATTTCGTTCCGTACAGCCGTCTGAAGGATAGATGGAAGTGTACCGGGGCTGCTGCTTTCTATGAAGCGCTGCCCTTATCAGAAAACATGAGGAGAGAAGGTATATAAAAAAAAAAGATCTCTCACACCGTGTCCTTGACACAGGGCACGGTGTAAGAAAAAATCTACCACAGTAAGCAACAGAGAGGCATAATGCATTTTTCAGGGGGAGGGGAGATTGTCCACGAACACTTCCAGATAGTTTCCATAGTCCTGATAAGGATGTTGCAGTGTCTCTCAGCCGGTCCACTCTGATAAGGGTCCACAGATGTTCTTGGGGGGCAGAGCAGAGTATTTACGTATCCACCAGGAGCAATTTGAGATAAGTTGGCCTGTCCAAGGCCAGATTCAGATAAACAACAATTGTTTTGGGCAGGCCGGCTCTACTGATTTCTATCTGCCTTCAGTTCTGCCGGTCCGTGCTTGTTAGCCTTCTCCAAAGTCGATTCCTTCATGCCGGCGAGTCCTAGGAGCTGCAAGTGGCCTACGAGTCTCAGAAATCGCTTCCAGCTTTCGGTTCAGTTCACAAAGCATATGAGTCTGAGAGCTCGAAACACAGAGCAGTCCTTCATAAAAGGCTGGCAGCTTCACTGTTGCCCGACGTCTTCCTAATTAGTCGATATCTCAGTTATCTGCCGATTCCAAAAAGCAGAAACCCTGTTATCATAAATCCAATTATGTACGCGTCTTCTACGTCCTCATCAGACAGCACAGACAGGCACATGATCTTCCAAACACCCAGGAATCTATGACGCATCCAGCTGCGTGTGTCCCTTCAGGGCATGAGGGTTCTCCTGCACCCTGTTCTGTAGTTGAGATGTTATCAGTTGCTTTGATAGACCAGCTGACCAGATCCATAATAATGTTCGATTTGGAAGTTGTGTAGAGAGAGGCTCTAAGATTCACAGGATGAGAGCAAAAGAATGAGGGGAGGCAAGAGAGGGAAAGAGAGCATCCGTCTTTGTCGAGAGCGCGAGAGAAAAACTATCTGGACACGTGTAGTGAACAGAGCTGTAACAGGAGTAACTTGTGGAAGTTTGAACCTCATTAATCTGTTTGAGCTGAGTCAAATTTAGATGAGAGGTGGAGAATAAACTGGACCCTCACCTTCCTGGACTCTCCACAAAAGTCAAAGTGTTCATCAGCGTGAGGAACTTGTCTCTAGATTGAAAATAATCATTTAAAAACTCATAAAGGAGTTTCACTCTAATGTCCACCCTTCCAGTCAGTCAGGCTGTTGAACGCCCGTCGGAGCACATCACAGCTTCAGTGTCTGCCTCAATTTAGTTTGTCTTCTTAACTTTTTGTTTTTTCTTCTGGTATTTTAAAGTGAAATGTTTGTAGCAGTTAATATTTCTGTTTTTTTTATTTATTATTGTTTTGATGAGCTGTGGTAAACATTTTTATATAGAAACAGTAAAAAAAAAAAGTGATTTAATGTAAAACGTAAGGACTGAATTAAAGTCTAGGCAATTTTCAATCAAATAAAAAATAAAATAAAATATTTCTCATGGATTTTTCTCATGGACCAAGCATTTCGTCTCATCTTGTGAGATTAGGATCTCGTTACACTCCCAGTAGTGAAATATTTCAATGTGATGTTTTGTTTCTTCTGTGGTTCTAATAGAAAAACTGAAGTTGGTTCAGCTGCACAAACTTGACGAGGAGCTACAGACGATGAAACGTGCAGCTGAAGACTGAAGATAAATCTTGCTCACATGTGGTTTTGAGGTGTTTGAGGTACAAGTCTTGTTTTCTTCCAGACCTAAACTTTGTTCCATCCGGTCTGCGTTGAATTAGAAACGTTAAATTTCATTAACGCCAGTTTCGGAGTATTTTTAGCCTGATAGTTGAAGCGGCCTCAATCTCAACCATTGCTAGCATCAGCTGTTTGCTTCCTAACGTCTGATTAGCTCAGCATTGAGTTTTTAAAGTGTTTTCATGCCGTTTGTTTCGTGAGAACTAGTTTATATTTAATACGTTGCTAGAATTTATGTGGTTGAGTCACCAAACCTGAAACATTTTGTGTGTTTTTTTCTGTTAGAGACATAGCTTTGCTGGTCATCTGTGTGACTTTATGATCCAGAAGTTCTACTGATGTTGATATTTTTCATGACAAATATTAAACTAATTTATTAATGCTGTGATGTGATGTCTAAAACACACTAAGAAACCTCCAACCTTCAACACTTCACTGAAAAATGCACACCAGCTCGTATAAAAAAGTCACATACAAAATCAGTTTTGAGATATTTAATAAAAAAAAAAAAAAACTTTTTTGCAGCATTTCCAACAACGTAATACTCTTTCAGGTTTCAAAACAAACAGTAACCCTGTACAAATGATTTATTCAAATGAATACCAAACATTCCCATAAACACCATTAAGTCCGTTTTTACAATGCAGTAAAGATGCTTGTGCTAATGTAGGGGCGTGGGCACGGAGGTGCAGTGGTTAGAGCTGCTCGCAGAATTGCCTTTCTCTGTGGAGTTTGAACGTTTTCTCTGTGCATGCGTGGGCTTCCTCACATGGACCAAAAACATGCACGTTAGGTTAATGAATAATTCAAAATGCCTCTCGGGGAAAGTGAGTTTGGTCATTTGTCTCGTTGCCATTGGACTTGCGGCCTGTCTATTCCTCATATTTTACAAGATCACTAAATAGTTTTACGCCCAGTCAAGTCGTCAAACATATCCTGCAAGTTCTAATTGTTTATTGACCAACAATAGTCAGGAGTTCTGCGCAGGGCGTGAACCGAAGAAGTGAAGCGACTTATGTAAGGAAACATGGCTCCGTTCCAGCATTGTTCCAGCTAAACGCCCAACCTCTTTCTCTTGCGTTCTTTTACAGGTAATGCCTCGTTCAAAAATCAGAAAAGAAGAAGAAGAAAAAAACAGGCCCGTGAAACTCAAAATCTATTTTACATCCGACTCTCAAGGCAGCTGTAGATTTACACTTTTATTTACACAACGTTAAAAACGAAGGCGAGCACAAATGCATGACTCAAGTGCTCGGATTTTAAAAGCTCCTCCCTGAATGCTTGTGCCGCTGCAACGTTAGCACTTAAAAACACGTTTTCCCACACCTCGTTTGCTCGTTTTGGGAGAACGTTCCAGCTCAGGCCTTGGTGAGTCGTTGGCACATTGGTGAAACCAAAAAGACACTTTTCTCCCCTTCAGTTGCGTACTAGTACACGGCGCAAACATTCCCAGAAACACACAACACTGGTTCTGTACTCACTGTCAAATACTGCCGTGTTTTATGACTGGCATGTATTTTCCTTCCCTCAGGTGCAGTCTGTTTTTAGTCCCACCGTCACACTCATACAAGTTCAGTTTTAGTTACACTGCCGTGCCTTTATGTGCTTGGTGAAACATTAGCTGTGCAGCCAGTATTCGAGTACCGTAGTCACTTTTGTCTCTCAGTCACCATAAAAGGAAAAATAGTACCAGATCTTGGCAAAAAAGGCACATTCCAATGCCTTCAGTTTGTTTCCAGCATTTTCAATATCGTCTTTTCAAGTTTTATTACTTCTTTGTAAAAATCCAGCAAAGGCCACAGCGGTGGGCACCAGAGGTACGTTTTAGGAGTGATCGAGTGTTGTTGGCACAAGTTGGCAGAGGGTGCTTTTGATCATCGTGCATAAATAGTGTCCATATAAAAGGTCGCTCCTCCGTCTTTCGTTATCCCAGGTTATTCCCCATCTGTTAACAGAGCAACAGGATTAACAGTGAAATCAAGTACATCTGCCTCTTTTTTCTCCTTCTTCCCCCGCATGCTGTCGTATTCTGGCACTGAAATATTTCAATGGCAATGTTTGATCAACGATGTAGCGATTGTGCTAGACTTGTGCTTAAGCGTGACACCACCACCAAAACAACATGTATAAGCGCACAGAATAAAAACTAATGTACTGTTGGTCGGCTAATAATCTATCAATTAAGCTCTTGTAATCCTAAACTCACATTCGTTTCATATGTGAGCATCTTCATTCTGTTTATATATTTTTGCCATCTATGCTGCTAACGTCAACTACCTCAAAACGGCTGTAGACCTTCTTCTCCTTCCTCAGACTTTCTATCCTCTTCAGTAACCCCTCCCTCTCCTGGTTGTTGCCCGTTGTTCGCAGGAATCGGTTCTTTTTCAAGGGGTTCGGCGCCTCCAGTCCTTTCTCTGCAGCGGCGCCGTCTTTGTCAGCGACGGTTTCTTCTCGCTCCTGACGGTTTTTCTGGCTGTTGGCAGAGATTTGCTCCAGAATGACTTTAGTGTCGTCTCGCAGGTTGCTGCTGAACAAAACCGAGCTTCCCGGGGTCTGGTGCCGCGACGAGACTGACGTCCCTGTTGACGTTTTGTGATTAGCAGAGGATTGATCGGCAGCTGTGGGTCCTGTGTCTTTCGCTAAAGAGCTCTGCTTTTTGCCGTCATCATCAGCTACCTCCATGACCGTGCTCATGACCTTCTCTTCTCCTGGGGCTTTCTTTTCTTTATCCTTTGGTCCCAAGAACCCCTTTAACCTCAGGGTTTGTTTCTTCAGGAACTCAAGCGTCTTACCTTCACCAAGAGTGTTTATAGATGTGTTGGATCCCATAAGCTTTTGCAGTTTTTCCCTGGACTCTTCATGTAGTAGAGTTGAAGAACTATGGGAGCGGCTCTTTTTCATCTCGCTCTTCTCTGCGTCTGTTGCATCCATGCTCAGAACCTCTTCACCGCAAGAGATCCGACGAGGATTCAGTGCTTTAATCTTCAGCGGGTCTTTCTTGAAGATCTTTGGTGAAGAAAGAGGTTTCAGTAATTTAGGAACGTCTTTCTTTTGACCTTCTGGTTCATTTTCATCTTTACGAGGTTGCGATGTCTCCGAAAACTTTAAGGAACTCACAAAGGGCTTGGGAGAGAGGATTGAGTGTTTTAAACTTATTGAATTTCTGCGAGGGGCTTCAGCCAGTTTTGTTGAAATGTCTGGCTTCTTTGGTTCCTGGTCTCCTGAAGTGAGAGTGAGAGTCGGGGTCTTTGGAGTGGGCACTGGGTTGAGTGGAAGTTTCTCAGAGAGGTCTGGTTTCTTTTCAGGAGGTTCTGGGGCCTTTACAGATCTCTCCGTCTCCATCTTTGAGGCTTTCCTCTTAGCTTCCAGGTCTTTAAAATACTGCAGTCTAGTAGCTACATCATTCACATTTAAGGACGAGTCAACGCTAGGTTTCTCAACAGCTGGTGTTGTTTTTTCTTCTTTGTTGGATGTCTGAGGTTCCTCCTTCACTTTAACCTCCGTTTTCACTTCTGTATTCGTTTTCTCTTGCTCCTTTTGTTTTTCCTCTTTCTCCTTCTCCTTTTCTCTCAAACTGTCTTTTTCCTCAAACTTCTTTCGCCACTCAAAAGGCTCACGTGACAAAGACCTCCTCTTTTCGAGGATTTGAGCCACAATGGACGAAGTACGTCCTGAATCCAACTGCTCATCTTCTTCCGTCGCTGGTTTTAGACCTAAGCTGCTGCTGCTGTGTATTTCTCCCTTGGAAGATGCAAATATAAGTGAAGAGCGGAGGCGAGAGCTACGTTGAAGAAGTGGGTTAATGCGTGAACGGACTGACTCGTGTCTGGACAGAAACATATCTGTAGTATCCTTCGTCTCTGCTTCTTCTCCCGCCTCTCTTGTTGCTCCTCTCTCCGACTCCCTGTCCTTTTCGTTCTTTATTTCCCAGTCTTTTTTCTCCAGAAAAGACGACCTGAAATCACTTAAAGAAGAACGTAAATCCTTTGTTGCTAGTGGAGCAAAGTCTTTATTACTACTCTCAGGCAATTTTGGCTTTCCGAAGCGTGGTCTCAGTATATCTGGTCTCGGTTTGGGGGCAACATTTGGTGGTTCCTTTATTCCAAAGCGTGACACTGAAATTTCCGGTGCAGCAGGTTGCTCAGAGGGTTGAGGCTCATCAAACGCATCACCTCCCATTGGTTGAGACAAACCATCTTCTCCAGCCTCCTCATAAGTACTTAGATAGGAGTTGATCCTCCAACTCCTCAGGCCTTGCTTGACACTTGGGTCTTCATCGTACTCTTGATCAGACTGCTTGTGAAACAGTTTTTTCTCTGGTGGATGGAGCTGTGTCGGTGAAGTCTGACAGGCATATGCTTGACCAATGGTTGGCCTCTTGTGGCCAGATCCTCCTTCATACCTCCCAGCTAATGGAGGGCCATGAAGCCCGTCAGGTCCTTTAAGGTCCTCAGATGAAAAGTACTCTCTGTTCTCAAGTGGAAGCTCTCGATCTGAGCGATAGCTCGAGTCTGAATACTGATCGATGGCGAGGTGCGGCGAACGGCCTCGAAGTCTATCGTAGTGTCCCTGACCAGAATCTGGCCCAGGTCCTTCACTGTAGTAATGGCTACCTAGCAACTGCTCCCTGTGAAATAAAACATATCTTAGTTTCTTATAGATATGTAATAACAAAGGTATTCATGATGCATTCCAGTTATTATGATCTACTACAGTCAACCAACATCAAACAATAGAGAGTACGTACCTGTGGAAGTCTGTCTCATCCAGATTGTTCATGACTCTGTGCTTCATGTATTGCCTGGAAGATGAGTAGGTTTCCTGAGTTCCTTCTGCATAGCTGTGCCTCTTGTAAGCACTTGAGCTCATCTCCATTTGCCTGGACACTATAGACTTTCCCTGATCTAAAAACGACTGCTGCAGACGAAACTGCTGCTGAGAATATTTCCCAATTGTAATCCCTGTGCCAGGTTCAAGCGTGTGACGAAAGGGGTCGTTCCTTCGGAAAGGGTTACGATCTGAGTCTCCGTAGGGGAAGGCCGAGGGAAGCTCGGGCTGTCTTCTGTAACCAACAGGGTTACGCAAAGACTGTGACCTCTTTAAACCAAACTGGGAGTAATTGCTGGGGTCAGTAATGGCGAGTGGTCCACTGGATGCATCAATGACCAGGGGCTCCGATTGAGCAAAGAGAATTCGAAACTCCTCATCAAATGTGGAGACCAATTCTCCGAGGAAGAGGTGAGCGATGCAGCGGTGTATTTTCTCATAAGACCACATGAAACTAGAAGATATTTAAAAAAAAGAGGCAAAATGTTGTAACAAATTCTAAATTATTACCATTTTCATGAAATAATATCATAAATAAATGAGTCACCTGTAGTTCCCACTGAGCACAGCCCTGCAGTCAGTCAACATGAAACGATCTTTCACCTGCCCTTTAAAGGATTTTCCTGTCCGGGAGTGATACGTTATTCCTCCAACGGTCCTGACACGCATCATCTGGGGAAAAAAATAACATTTTATGAGTGTTAATGGCTTAAAAAACCTTCTTGAATAGTTGGAAATGATGTAAGAAACCGTGCATAAAACAGAAACTTACAGGAATTAAGTCTAAGTTGACTTTGCAGCCGATGACCATAGAGACAAAGTGATGAGCGTCCTGCTCATCCAGTAAAATGTAAACTGGAACATGGCGTGCTGCTGCCTCCAGTAAGTCGGAAAAAATGTCAACATCTGTGAACGTGTCCATCACGATGGCAATAACCTGGACAAGAAGCACAATCACATCTAAGTCAGTCATAACATAATTTGACTGTTTTCTCACAAGTTTTGCTTATTGGTTTCAAATTGTGACGCTTTTGCTGGACCAGACAAAAGATAGTCACAATTTCACGTACATTTACACAATTTGAGAGAACCTAGGCAGCTTTTTGTTGTCTCTTAACTGTTTTAAACATTATTACCTTATACATGTATATAAGCACATTTATTTACATTATTTAAACTATTCAGTCAAAATGATGGGTTAAATCTGGAATCCTCACTCAGCTGCATGTAGCCATCAAAAAGCAACCTTTGGTTCAACTTTTCTACTCAATAACTGATATTTAATGCCCTTTTGACTACGCTCACTATATCAGCAATAAAATGTGGGTGAATCTCTACTAATTTTACATAATAAAGAAAGATAGTGCAGAAAGAGTAGTGAGTCGTTCCGTTTTAAAGCTGTCTGTCCTTCATGTGCGTGCTAAGACGATCACGTCTGCGTAATCACAAAAGAGACAAAGTCGATGCCTGCCAGACACAGACAAGCTCTGTAATCTACTAACAGAAACGTAAGACAAGTAGAGCTACAATCCATCACTCCAACAGGTTTGACTGCTTGTCACGTGTGGCTTCTGTTGATCATATTTTTATTTTTGCTAAGGGCCAACCAGTTGGAAATTTGACTAAAAGGGTGTGGTGGCAAAGTAGCCAGAGGCAGACATAATGTGAGATTGAACTAACAACTGTGTACTCCAACACTAGTTAATGTAAACGTAAGTCATTGTCAGCTCTGGATTTAACCTCCCACGTATCCATTTTCTTACCCCCCCACCCCGTCTTGTCCTTGCCGTACTGTAGTGCTTTTCTCCAGCAGTCACAGAGGGAGAGGTGAGGTACACCCTGGACAGGTCACAAGTCCATCCACATAGAGACAAATGAGACAAACAACCACTCGCATTCTTTCTCACACCAAGGCACACATGCATGTTATTGATCGGTGCATGCAGGGGAGAACATGCCAACTCCACCCAGAAAGGTACCAAGCTGAGAGGAGACGGCTCTAACTACTGCAATGCTGTGCTGCCCCTTTTATCTAGGCCTGTCACGATAACAAATTTTGCTGGGCGATTAATTGTCTCAGAATTTATTGCAATAAACGATAATATTGTCTGAAATTTGACAATAATTAGTAGTTATTGTCAAATTTAAGAAGAAACGTTTGTTAATTTGTTTTGAGCGTAGCACCTTTTTGACCACAGTATGGCAGTATAAGACTGAACCAAAAGATGGATAGTGAGGGAGCGAGCAGCGTGTTTCTTTAAGAAAAATGGGAGGGAGGCCCCTTGACACAAGGGCTGGTCTCTCCTTCCTTTTTTTTTGGTTCTCCATATGGCGGATGCTCATTGTGGTTTGAGCTCTTTAGCATAACATTTTTCACACAAAGCTTTTAATAAAAAAAATCAGTAAACAAGTTCTCAGCTTCTTTTTGCAGAGAAAAACAAACTTTTTTTTACACAAAGGCACAGGTTTCAACCATGAATTTTGGAGCTTCGACAAGACGGAGGTTGTTTCCTGAGGTCAACCTGTTAGGTTAGCTTGTAGCTTAGCTTCTCAGCTTAGCTGCTTTTAACGATCCAATAACACGATTTTGGACGATTAAAACAGATTTTAAAGAGAAAAAGGAGGGCTCAGTGAAGAACACCAGAGTTGAGCCTTTTGTCATCCAGTGTCTTCAGTAGAAAGAGAGAGACATGAAGAAATGATAAAGCCGATAAATGAAAATTAGTTTGATAATTTTCATTTATCATGTGATTAATTGATTTATTGTTTATCGTGACAGGCCTACCTGTCAATAATGAACAATGACAATGAAATAAAGAAACTTCATACACATGGGCATCATCACTAGACGGAGCTGAGGGTCATATGCGCTTTTCATCACCCCAGCTTCAAGGTCAAGGTCAGAAGTCAAGGTCAAAGTTAAAGGTTTTTGCTTTTCAAGACGATAACTTCTGATCTGCTCCAGATAATTTAATGAAGCTTCATACACGTATGCATTACTACTAGACAGAGTGTTGCATACACTTATCATCAACCTAGCTTCAAAGTCAAAGTAAAAAAAAAAAATCAAGGTCAAATATTATAAAGGGTCTTTGCTTGTCTGGACCGTTGCTATAGATTGCTGTAAAATAGTTGCCAAATGTGGTCATCTTGATTCATTTTCATTGAGAAGACAACACTAAAAAACAAATATAAAATGACCTAATCGCTTTAATTAGTACATATGTGTACAAAAATACTTATGAATCATATTTGTATGTATATATGTACTTCTATTATCAGTAAATGTTTCAATATCATCTTTTAAAGTCTATTTTTCTCAGACAAAAGAAAACAAACCAGGTTGATAACTTTCACTAGTATCAGGTCTCTTTTGTAAATGAGCCCCCGAGGCTCAATGGGATTAATCTGTATAAATAAAGGTTGGATGAACCCTCTCTGTCTCTTTTACTTACTTGTCGAGCGTTCTTGATGAGTCTCCGGGCCTGCTCTTTAATGCTTGGCATGTCTGCGTCGGAGGGGTTGACCAGAGTGGTAACCTCTGTGGGTCCAACAAAGCTGTGCTGCAACATCGGCCATCCCAGATCCAGTCCTGGCGCTGCCAGGTCGGACTGCATTGGCCAGTAGGTGTCTGAGGAGCCCTCGGTCTCTTGACCCCCCTCATAATACGTCAACTCTGGGACTCCTGAGCTCTGATTTGGTATCTGAAGTGTGGACTTGATATATTCGATTTCCGTCTGGGACAGGAAATTTACAATATTTGCCTTCTGGAGAAATTCATAGTAACCCTGTTGCAATAGAACACACACAAATTCAGTAAATAAAAACAAGCCAGTCTATATGCATTTTAACTGCAGACAAAATTTACAAAAAGAATATTAAATACCTCAACGTCCTTCTCTATCAGGTCATCAATAGCTAAACGATACTCCTCGCGGTAATGTGGGGGCAGGTAGTTTGGGTCGAGAGGATTGTCTCCGATCGATGAACTCTGTGACCGGTGCGCCATCGTTAAATTGGTTGTGAGCCAAGTCAAGGATCAGGGTTGGACAGAATTTGAGTCTCTGCAGAAAAGTAAAAAAAAAAAGAAAAGCCACACTTCAGTTACAACGTTTGTCTTGGGATCTAAAGAGCAAGCAAAGCATCAAAAGCAGAAGTTTTCCTGTGTTCAAATCACCTTGTTTTTGTAGTTGGACTTAACTGTAATAACACACCACACCCCCATTAAAGACAAACAATATTTCAATTAAATATCCCATTGGGTGGTGAAAGAAAGAAGCCTTTGTGTTAGGATGCACACTCATACTTGTTACCAGTAACCATCGAAACAAAGCAACTGTTGTTGGAGAGCCAAGAAGACCAGGGCAGTGAATTTAACAGCTACTTTGTTCAGATTATCTCACTGCAGTTGTGAGAATACTGAATAAAACATTTTATTTGATGCCACCGTTTCGATCGAGCAGAGAGACATGCGGATTTATGTGAACGTTTCAATTCAATTTATTACAAACCGGATTCCAAAAAAGTTGGGACACTAAACAAATTGTGAATAAAAACTGAATGCAATGATGTGGAGGTGCCAACATCTAATATTTTATTCAGAATAGAACACAAATCACAGATCAAAAGTTTAAACAGAGAGAATGTATCATTTTAAGGGAAAAATCTGTTGTTTCCAAATTTCATGGCGTCAACAAATCCCAAAAAAGTTGGGACAAGTCCATTTTTACCACTGTGTGGCATCCCCCCTTCTTCTTACAACACTCAACAGACGTCTGGGGACAGAGGAGACCAGTTTCTCAAGTTTAGAAATAGGAATGCTCTCCCATTCATGTCTAATACAGGCCTCTAACTGTTCAATCGTCTTGGGCCTTCTTTGTTGCACCTTCCTCTTTATGATGCGCCAAATGTTCTCTATAGGTGAAAGATCTGGACTGCAGGCTGGCCATTTCAGTACCCGGATCCTTCTCCTACGTAGCCATGATGTTGTGATTGCTGCAGAATGTGGTCTGGCATTATCGTGTTGAAAAATGCAGGGTCTTCCCTGAAAGAGATGACGTCTAGATGGGAGCATATGTTGTTCTAGAACCTGAACATAGTTCTCTGCATTAATGGTGCCTTTCCAGACATGCAAGCTGCCCATGCCACAAGCGCTCATGCAACCCCATACCATCAGTGATGCAGGCTTCTGAACGGAGCGTTGATAACAACTTGGGCTATCCTTGTCCTCTCTGGTCCGGATGACATGGCGTCCCAGTGTTCCATAAAGAACTTCAAATCGTGACTCATCTGACCACAGAACAGTCTTCCATTTTGCCACACTCCATTTTAAATGACCCCTGGCCCAGTGCAAACGTCTGAGCTTGTGGAGCTTGCTTAGAAATGGCTTCCTCTTTGCACTGTAGAGTTTCAGCTGGCAACGGCGGATGGCACGGTGGATTGTGTTCACTGACAATGCTTTCTGGAAGTATTCCTTAGCCCATTCTGTTATTTCCTTGACAGTGGCATTCCTGTTTGAGGTGCAGCGATGTTTAAGGGCCCGGAGATCACGAGCATCCAGTAGTTTTACGGCCTTGACCCTTACGCACAGCGATTGTTCCAGATTCTCTGAATCTTTTGATGATGTTATGCACGGTTGATGATGATAACTTAAAAGTCTTTGCTATTTTACGCTGGGTAACACCATTCTGGTATTGCTGCACTATCTTTCTGCGCAACAATGGTGGAATTGGTGATCCTCTTACCATCTTGGCTTCTGAGAGACACTGACACTCTGAGAAGCTCTTTTTATACCCAATCATGTTGTCAGTTGACCTAATTAGTGTTAATTGGTCTTCCAGATGTTCGTTATATGCTCAATTTCCTTTTTCCAGCCACTTATTGCTACTTGTCCCAACTTTTTGGGGATTTGTTGACACTGTGAAATTTTGAATCAACATATTTTTCCTTTAAAATGTTACATTTACTCAGATTAAACTTTTGATCTGTCATCGATGTTATATTACGAATAAAATATTGACATTTGCTATCTCCACGTCATTGAATTCAGTTTTTATTCACAATTTGTTTAGTGTCCCAACTTTTTTGAAATCCGGTTTGTATGTTGGCCAAGAATTCTTTGTTTGGTCAAAGACAACATGGCTTTGATCAAATTTAAATTTACACAAAAAAAAAAGGTTAAATCTAGGGATGCACGATATTATCGGCATGGTATCGGACGATTTTAGCGATAAAGCTAAATATTGGGCATTCCATCAAAATAACACAGATATAAAAGTTGCTGTTTTTTGTATGACAATCCAGTGACGAGGACGCCTGCAGCGCCAGCACGTTATGACGTCACGCGCGCCTACCTATGTCATGAATAAATTTGACATTAAACATAATCCAAGTTGAAATGTTACATCATTTTCAGTCCCCCTTTTGACATCTGCATTTGGTAGCAGGCCAAACTGACAAAAACTATGCAGAATAATATTATTTTAATTCCACAGCAGAGAAAGCTATGTAGTCTGTAAGTAGGTCTAAAGTATTGTATCGGTTATCGGCCAAACAAGTTTTAACATATCAGTATATTGGATATCAGCCAAAAATCCAATATTGTGCATCCCTAGTTAAATCACGTCAACTGGACAGGTTTTTCTTTTTTGGGGGGAGGAACGTTTTGTCTTTCATCTGAAAAACTTCGTCAGTCTGAGGCCTGCCAACACAGATCTGTCTTATAAATAGCACCTCCTTGATGTGTTTCAAGCCAGCCCTCTGTGAAATGCCCAGAAACTAACTTACACATGCAAAAAGGGGACCATCTGTCCAAAACAATCGAGCATCATGCATAACAATCAAATGTTTTATGCCAGATGGCCAACTTGCTACTCACAGAAACAAGCTGAGGACACATTAGTACATGGACTCAGACTCTAAAAACCTCTTTTTTTTACAGTAAACGAACCAGATTTTAGACTAATAACTTCAAACTATTCATTATAAACAGTCTTTGACAGTGCAGTTTGTATATATGATTTTACTTGAATCTATCTGTTGTAAATCTTATAGTTAATTCTTCACCCAGTTTATACATATGAAAAGGATAAATGCTATATTCAGAACACCGATGACATTTTCTGCAATTGACTAAACCTTAATAGAGCTAATGATTAGCTCAAGTTGGAAACTGGGCAATTCATAAAACAAATAAACCAAGATGAAGAAAATACAATGGGAAGAAGGCAGACAAACAGTCACAGGAGAGAAAAGTGGATGAGTGAGGCAGAGGTGGGAAAGGCAGGAGGAGGTGTTGTACAGACAGGTTCTTTCATATTTCAGCTCAGGGAACTCGTCGTGCCGGTGCGTCATCCTTAGACCTTGTCGAGAAAAGTCCGTCAGCCGTGGCAAGCGAGATAAATGTGAGGGGCGCAAGGAGTGAACTGAAAACTATGACAAGACTTTTAATTTACCTAAAACTTAAAACACCGTGACGTAACTTTGTTGTCTGTTTTAATTACAGGGAGTTAGTTCACAGAAGGGATTAGTTGCTCATCTTTATTCAAGTTCAACACTACTATTGTACTTAATGTGAATTAACAGATTCCTGAGATGCAACTCTAAAAGATTTTGTTTGGCAGCGGATTAAAGAAAACAAGCGTGATGAATAAATGACAAATGCTTAGGGCTTGAATCTATTTAGGACTGATAGATAATAGATTATAGCCTTTTGCAGCAATTTTCTAGTAAAAATAAATCTTTTGTGCGTCGTAACAGGAGGCAAAACATCCATTCGTTAGAGCTACAGCTGACTGATAGTGTGAGGCCTGGGCCCTGCTGTAAAGGTGTGTACGATGTGTTCTGTGTAAATGTTCAGGAACAGCGACGAGCCTGATGCTGGCGATAGAGAAGGGTAAAAGTCCTAAGCTGTAATCAGAGGGAGAACCCGCCTTACTCAGTGAACTGGTGAGTCATTGAGTAGCCTGGTGTGGCGAGGCCAGGGGATAAACGTGCAACAGACTGCTGTGTGGTGGTGATTCACGCTCAATGGTTGACATCCTGTTTTCATGCTTATTTTGAACCATACAAATAAGGCATGTTTATGCTGTCGGTTTTCTCAGTTCACTCGACTGACATTACTGCTAATCCCTGAAGAGGAGGACACTGAACTGATCTATTCTTTACTGGGAAAGTTTTCTGCTCTCACTTTATCTGCTTAAAGAGATGACTCACTACTTTGTATCAAGTATGCCTCTGTGGAAAAGTTATGAACAACAGACTCTTATCTGTTGTAGATAGCTCTTTGAACAGACTCGGGTTGGAGAAATCGAAGTTAATTCTAACCAGACCACTGAGCTATAGCCCAAACTGAGCCAAGACCAAAGTGTGTTGCTGCTGTCTTAAAATAACTCACGATTTCAAACTTTTCCAAACAGCTCATGCAAACAGCATCTTATAGGTTGCTGTCAATTTAGCTTTATATTATTTGCAAGTGAAAATAACGGCAGCAGCTAGCTTTAGCTCTTTCAATGCAGCCTGCAGCACTTTCTGCAGGAATATCATAGTCTTTCTACTGGATTAACTGTGTAATGTGAAACTGACAACAATGCAAAGGTTTATAAAAAAAACTGTTTGCACGACTGTCAAATATTTTAGTCTGGAGTTGTTTTATGATAGCAGCAATTCACTTCGGCCTTGTCCCCTGTTAGTTTTTTCACTTTGGTCCAAATTAAACTGTTTCTCATACTGAGGTCGTCCAAGGAGCTACCTACAACAGGTAAGATATTGACGCTCTTAATCGTTCTGCAGAACCAGACTTTAAAGATGAAATGTGCTGACAGCCCCAGACTGAAAGACGTGCTCAAACAAAATGTCAAGCATGTGAGGTAACGCAACAATCCAGCTGTTCGAGCCCTTGGAACAAAGACAAACATGGTTCCTGACCATTTTAGCTTCTTCATCATTTGCTTTCAAACAGAGAAAAATACAGAAGTCTGTCAACTACAGGAAGTTTGTCTAAATTTAAGATTTACTAAATGCTTGTTTTGTGAAACAGAAGTATTCATTATATCATCAGTTGATAATCAAAACTTTTGGGATGACTAGAGGATGACGATGAGCCGAACCATTCGGACCCTGAGGTGGATACGAGTCAAGGAAGTCGCACTGAACGGATCGTGGTGGTTTCTTCTCTTCTTTACCCGTTCACCTCTGCAGGAATAGCAGAGATAGGATGGACTTTCACCATCTCACCTGGCTGATGGGTAGCATATCAAAACAAACACTGACGCTTTGTTGTTATGGCAACAGAAATGAGCATCAAACCTCAGGTAGTGACGAACGATGATCAGGATCTCTGTTTTTCTTTGAGATATAAAGCTTATCCACACCAGGAGGAGCTAACCTAAATGTAGCGTACACAAAGCCCGAGTGAAACTCTAAACCAGCCGAACTCAGACTGCAGCGTCTCAAGGATGGTAATACTCAAATGGGAACACTGTTAACTGCTACGCATGCCAGTGGCTTACTTTCAGCATTCCTGCCTGAACGCTGACATGAAACGACAGACTGAAACTTCTGAAATGTTATTAGTCTCGACATGTGAATCGGTGAGGGAGGGGAAGAAGAAAAAAAAAAAAAAAAGGCCCGGGGAGACGCAAACCATCAAGAACTATCAGTCTCTTCCTGTCGCAACACACATCTGAACACACCTAACTGAACAAACACGGCGATTGATCGGGCATTCCTCTTGCTGTGTGACGATTCGGTGTGAACGCATCAGCCAAAAGAACAGGTTTGGAGGGATGAGCCTGTAAAGTCCTGATGGTCCTGTCAGGACATTTCTGCGTTGCTGGATTAACGCACACAAACCGAGGCAAGTCCACTTCTGCCTCCGAGTATCATCACACCTCCAGGCGGCTGTTGAATGAAACACAAAAGAAGGCTCAAGGACAGATGAATGTGACAACGCACGCTGGCTCTCATCCTCCTTTCTCTCTGCGTCTAGAAAAACAGGTCCACTGAGCTCCCCGTCATCTGTTCCAACTGCCTCGGGGCCTGCGGTCAGCGCCGCTGGAAACTCAAGCAGTTAAAAGCGTATAAATGCTCCTACTTTTTCCAGCTTCTTCTTTTCTGCAGCACATTAACGCTTTACGAACAGACTCGGGCCTTTTGAAACACGGGCAAAGCGCACAAACTAATGAGCGACTCTGCGTCTGCCATATGGTCGACGGGACAATAATAAATTAATAAAGCTGGCACTTTTTTTTTTGCAAGACTGCAAACATCACAAATTACAACCACATGTTGGACTTCTTTAGTGACGAGCTGTGAACGCATCAAGGGTAAAAGCTGTGAAACAGAAGCGTCTTGTGTATGTAATTAAGTGATCGTTAGAGCCATGCAAACCAGTCTTCCTAGTCTGCAGACTGGACTGGGATCTTAAGCAAAGCATTGTTCAAACATGGCAGAAGACATGCCATACGCATCATTTCTTCTTTAATGTGGCTTCTGTTCTGGGTGCTTTCACGTTTAATTTCCTGAACTGACTGGAAAGTTAGTTTTTACAGTTTACTGGCAACAGCAACTGTTCAGGTTTCCCACAGCAGACTTAATCCTCTATAACCTGTAGGCCAAGGTGCTGCCTTGAAAGAGAATAATACTAATGTTGCTTTGTAAATAGGCTTCACCAAAATATGAGAGTATAATTGGTACAAATGGCAGCTGCAGTTTTCTTTTTATTTCGTACCTTGTCACTTTCTTGCTCGTTCCCTCTTCGACGAGTTCCGCTCTCCTCGGTGAAAGCACCGACCTGCAGGTCTCCGTCTCGTCCGTGTGTCACATTCCTCAGCTCGGACAGCAGCTCCACCCAACACCCCCCGCCCCGGTCGGTGGACACCCCTCCACTGCAGCTCCCAATGCCCGGGCTGAGAGCTCCGCTCGGCGGCCTGTGGTCCTCCAGAGCCTCCGCTGAATGAGGAAGGAGCCGGGGCGAAGGAGCAGGAAGGGCTTTCCCACCGACCAGGCTCCTCCCAGAGCTGCTGGTTGGAAGTCTCCTCCTCCTGCTTTATTTCAAATGTGCGCTTCGGTCGGTTTTTTTTATTTATTTATTTTATTTTATTTTTAATCACCCTTCGCAGAAAGGCGGACGATTTTATCGACAAAACTGCCCAAAGTTTATTGAAACTTTCAGGAAGTAATCATTGAGCCTCCACAACTTGTGGAGCCGAGACGATCCAAGATGGCTTCCTAAGAAAACACACAAAAAAATAATAAATCTAACTCCTTTGACTTTGATCTAACATTTGTTGCGGTGGTAGCTGACACTCATCCACAACACCTATCCTGAGTGCTCACATATTCTGCAAGATAACGCATGCTCAATAATCCAGGTAGAAAAATCGAACAAAGTTGCAGTAAATCCTCTGGATAGTTTAAAATAATGTATTTTGTTCAAAAGACTTAGCGGTAATTGTCAGTTTGAGGAGCTGCACTAAACTCAGTCTTATAAATAGCACCTTTTCATAGTGGATCAACCAGTTTGCTGGTGACAGCCAAAACTGTTCACATGATAAAGGAGGACCATCAGCCTAACGACTGATCGTTAGTGCCCTGATGGCCACTTGCTATTCACAGGGGGCTGAGTGATACTAGCAATAACAGCATCGTAAGTGGGTAACAACTGGACACGGAAGCCTCCGCCCCGTTTAATGATGGATGGTTTCTCTTTACAAAGATGGTGTCTTTCACTCCTCTCTCAAACATTCCTCTCTATCAAGGATATTTGAGAGAGGAGTGAAGGAAGCCATCTTTGTGAAGAAAAAACATCCATCTTTAAATGGGGCAAAGGCTTCCGTGTCCAGTTGTTACCCACTTACAATGCTGTTATTGCTAGTATAAGCCCTCTGAATATCCAGATGCATGCTCAATAATCCAGGTAGAAAAATCTAAAAAAAAGTTCAGTCTGGTCCTCTGGACATTCACATCCTCTGTGAATAGCAAGTGGCCATCAGGGCACTAACGATCAGTCATTAGGCTGATGGTCCTCCTTTATCATGTGAACAGACAGTTTTGGCTGCCACCAGCAAACTGGTTGATCCACTATGAGAAGGTGTATTTTGAGTAGCTCCTCAGATTGACAAAGTCTTTTGGATAAAAGATGAAATGTTTCAACAATTTTTATTTTTTTAATCTGTCCAGAGGACATGACTTAACTTTGTTAGATTTGTTTTAAAACGTTTCGTTGACTGTTTGATGTTATCTTTCCATCATAAATCACTTGGATTTGAATGAAACTTTCAGGAAATAATCAATGTATGTATTTATTATTTTACATCGAATTACTTTTTTGGAGCCACCCCAGTTCAAAATGGCTGCCACAGCCAACATCTTTAGAAAATATAAAAGTGGCAGTAATTCAGTAAACCTATAGGCTACAGATATTGCTAGAATTTGGTGTGGTAGTAGCTGAGAGTCAGTCACAACACGTATCCAAGGGATTCTGATTTTGCAAGATCTTTAATTAAAGCTTTATCTTTACCTGTTGGAGTCAATCCTGCTGGCCTGTTAGCAAAATATTCCCTATAAATCCAATTGTTTGATGAATCTATAAATCTTTAACTGATTACCAGTGTGAGTCGATCCTTCAAGATTGCCGCCACAGCTAATTGACATTAGCCAACACAAAAATGACTATTTCAATACATTTTCCAGGTACTAATCCAAAATCTGATGTGGTAGTAGCTGAGAGTACTTCACGACACATACATGGCATGTGGCAATATTAAGGGTTGACTTAGTAAAAAATTTCAATGCAAAACCAGTAAATATTATCACTCCAGTTCATTATGTATTCATGCACATTTTGACCCAGTCTAGTCAAATTATTGGAACATGATTATGGTGGAGAGTATTTCTTTAGCCATATTGTGCTCCGATGGCTCAAACTTCAGCTGGGGAGTGTTTGTGTCAGGTCTTTTACAAAAAAAAAAAAAAGTTTGTTTTCACTCCGTTGGTGTCAAATTTTACAAGTGTACTTTATCGTTGAATAAATATGTTCTGCCATGTTTGTTCATACGTGTAAGCTTGCACCAGCTCAGATGTGCACACATTTGCATCACAAATATAAACTAATGAGACCGTCGTAAACTTCAAATGTTGATTTTAAGGACGTCACAGAAGTACAAATAAATACGAGTAAAGCTCCGACAATGCACAGACCATTGTTGGCCACCCGAAATCGCCACCCCTCGAATGATTTTACTACCAGTTCCGGTCTAAAAGTCTGTGAAATAATTACATATACGCATTATTTTTTGGCATAAATAATGGCAGCCAAGGTGGACTTTTTCTCTGTTTTGTCTAGATTAAGTCTAGCTGGCACATGCACGTAAAATCTATATGACTCGTATTCTGATGAGCTTAAAAATCAACATTTTGCGTTTGTTTTGGATCACAGCTGAACTCGCTTAAGCAAGTTTTTCTCTTAAAAGTCTTTAAGTGGTCTTCAGGAGTTCTCACGCCTTTTTGACCTGCCAGACTTCTTTTTTTTTTTTTTTTTAAGACGTTGTTGCCTTTTGATCCCTGTTTGGACCAGATACTGCTTGGGTAATTGAAGCTGAGGATCAGACTCTGGGGAGGCCAGGCCATGACAGGGTTCCTTTGTGTGTTCAGGAATGTTTTTACAGCAGTGTGTTTGGGGACATGTTTGTTCTGAAAAATGAAGCCGTTTTTGCTTTGACACACCCCAGATGGTATTATTTACTGGATTCAAATCTGATGATGCATTTTTGAATAATAAGGGCACTTAAATGAGTTAAAATCTCCGACACTGACCCTGACAGAGGCTCCATGGTATTTTACAGACGGCTGTAGATTCACGGTCGCACCATCACATTTTTAATTTGGATTTGCGATGCCATCACACCTGCTGTCACAGATTTTCAGCACAAGTTGTGTGCAGTTTGAAGGCTCTACTTCTTTTTCCCCCTCTTAAAAAAAAAAAAAAAGTATTTTGATGGTTTCAGCCTGCCAGGAAATTCCTTAAAATAAAAATGTAAAAAGATACTTTTTAATACGTTGCCACAAATTCTATTCACTTCTCGAGACATTTACATCTAAATAAATCAGGTGTTAAGTGGACTAACAAAAGAACAAATTACGTTCCAATGATAATGTTTAAAGAAAACCTAACTTTTACTGACAGAGCTGTTGCTTCAGACCATTTTGAGACATTAATAATAATTTGAAATTAAAATGATAAAATATGCTGAGTGTCTCTACATGTTTTATAAGTCCACCATCGAGAAAACAAGCAGATCGCTTCAGCTTTGCTAATCGAGATTCAAGCAAAGTGGTGATAAATACATTTTTGTTAAGCACTAAGTTCATTTTCGAACCCCCTTTGGTGGTATTTCCTCAAACTAAGCATTTCCTCTGATAAGCCTTTAATAGATGACTTTTTCCAAATCTGTTACATTATTATTATTAAACTATAGACTTGTTAAATTTTGATTCCAGCAACATTTTTCTAAGAAATGTGGGGCAGGTTATGCTAATCACGTGTTGCATCACCTCCACTTTAAAAAACTAGCTCTAAATGTTCGAGATTTGAGAACACCAGTCTCGAAGGTATCCCCCCACCAAGGACATTTATAGTAATTTGTTGCATGACTCAATTATAAAATTATTAACTTTTGATGTTGACTGAAATCTGGATCCAAACATTTTTATTTGTTCGTGTTTTTCATAAAGTTTTGGCCATTCCACTGAGTTCATATGGTATCTGCGGCAGGTGCACCACAGCGGAAACAACCAGTCAAACAGTCTTGAAACCGTTTTTAAGCATTAATAATAAAGTTCAGATATTTGAAATTAAAATGTTAAGAATGCTGAGTGCCTCAAAGGAGCTCAAAGATTACAAGATGGGATGTTTCTCAGACTAAAAGGCAGATATGGTTTCATTTTACTGTAAATATGCATATTCTTTATGTTTGCTTTTGACCCCATACATTATAAAGTTTGAACTAATAACTGTGCTTGTAGTGATGGGCTGTGTTCATCATGCAGTAGTTTCAAATTATTTGTTTTTCAAATATGACATTTATATAGAACTTAGCTCAGACAGTTTCTGAATCTTTGACTGTAATTGTACTACAGATGATTAAAACCCCCAAAACTGTAGCTTTTTTTGTATACTTAACTTTTTGAATTAGCAGCTTTTCACAAATGTTTTCCAACTTTTTCGTTCCTGACCTAGTTACAAACCCATTTACAGTGAAAATAATCACATAATCGTCTACGCTGAGTTTATCACAGCATAAAAAAAAATTCAGTAAGATCTACATCAGCTAACTAAAACAAGGTTCTGCATGCTGAAAAACTTTGCTTGAATTAAGAATTTACTTTTTACTATATTCACAATTTTGTTCCATTCCTGCAGACTCCAACCAGATTTTTTTCATCCATCCATCCATCCATCATCTTCCGCTTATTCTGAAGTTGAGTCGCGGGGGAAGCAGTTTGAGCAGGGAGGTCCAGACATCTCTTTCAGTCACCTCTTCCAGCTCTTCTGGGAGGACTCCAAAGCGTTCCCAGGCCAACCGAGACATAGTCTCCCCAGCGTGTCCTGGGTCTTCTCCCACAGGCGCCCAGGATCTTTACCGGATGCCTGAACACCTCAACTGGCTCCTCTCGTTGTGGAGGAGCAGCGGTTCCGAGTCTCTTCCAGATAACTGAACTTCTCACCCTATCTGAGTCCTACCCTGTGGAGGAAACTCATTTCAACCGCCTGTATCTGTCATCTCGTTTTATTGGTCACTACCCAAAGTTTGTGGCCACAGGTGAAGGTAGGAACCACGACTGACTGGTAAACAGAGAGCTTTGCCTTACAGCTCAGCTCCCTCTTCACCACAATGGACCGGCACAGACACCGCAATACTGCAGACGCTGCACCAATCCGTCTGTCAATCTCACGTTCCATTCTTCCCTAACTAACTCATGAACAAAAACCCGAGATACTTGGAACTCCTCCACTTGAGGCAGAACCTCACCCTTGACCCAAAGAGAGCAATCCACCCTTTTCTGAATGAGGACCATGGCCTCAAATTTGGAGGTGCTGATCCTCATGCCACCCACCTCACACTCTGCTGTGAGCCGCTCCAGAAAGAGCTGAAAATCATGGCATGATGAGGCCAACAGGACCACATCATCTGCAAAGGGCAGATTTACTCCTGAGGCCACCGATGTACTAAAATGTACTGAAAACCATGATTCATGATGTGTAATGTCTCACAGTGACCTCTTCTCACTGACTGTTAATACAAACAAAGCTTCTCCAGTTTCAATCTGTTGAACGTTCACCCGCTCTAATATAGCAGTCGTGACATCAGCAAAATGTGATAAAAGTACGAGCCACTTGTGCGTGTTGCCCTTTGCCCTGAAACGTGTTCGTCTCACAGAACGCACCTCGCTCGATGCGCTTCTGATAGCCCACTCCATGACTGTATGTTGAGCTGCTCCTGAGGGTGTGTCTGTCTGCACAATCAGCTAATCTATTATCCACACACACAAACAGCAAAGGCTGCATGCTTCTGTTTACTCTTTTCCAGTTTGTTGAAACGCGCGTCTCTCGGCCTGGTCAAGTGCAAAACGACCGGACTAGGAGGTGCTTGCATACAGCTGTGCAGACCTGCCACATATTCTGAAATGCTAAGAGCGTCTTCATGCACCAATAATGTTCTGATAACAAACACAAGCAGGTAGAAAGACGCAGGGTGCGGCTGCTCGAAGGAATGTGCTTAAGGCATCTCACCACACCCAAGTACTTCTCCTTCATCCCCAACCCCCACCTTTCTTTTTTTTCCACACTCATCCTCCATCAGTCTCCTCCCTCTCTGAATCACCTGGCAGCCTTTCAGCAGGTACACCCGGGTCGGGACAAAACTCCGGCATGCACACCTGGCTGAGAGAGAGCCTGCCACGATTTCAGAAAAGCTTTTTCAACATCTTTTAGTGCAAACAGATGTGAGGTTTTATTTAGGACATTTTCTAAACTAGATGTATATGGGATGTTAACCATGCAAACATTATATAAATATAATAAACATACAATTAGAAGATGTGTACAAGTGAAAAGTGTCCAACAGTGAGTGAAAACATTTGTTAAAATCTTGTTTTTTTGGACACTTGCTGACTTTTACCACGTGATACCATGAGTAACCACCAGCAGGAAAGTTGTTTATGTATGAACCTAAATAATCCTCCAGATTAAAAAAAAAAAACAAAGATGAAGAGGAGATGCTGGTTGGGAATTGTTTGAATATGAACGATTCCAGTTCCCATCTATTCTTTTTAGAGGCAGGGTTCAAAAAATGTTTACATGGTAGAAATGTGCCAGCTAGTTCGTTCTGGATGAAATAGTTAGAACTTCTTTTTCAATTTTAATTCTATGAACTTTTTATTAACGTTACTATGAATTTCCCACAGGGCTATTTTCAACCAGTATATAAATATCAAACATGAACTTTTAATATAAACACTATGCATGTTCTTTTCACGAGAGCTTTATTTTTGAAAACCTTATCAAAATCTATTTCTACATGTCCAGTGTGTGATTCATTCAACCTTTAATTATACAAGTTAGTCTCATTGATTCGCGAGGACTCATTCATAAGACCAGTTTTAAACAAAGAACACAGATGAGGTAGACAATATACAATCATATAAAATGAAAAGTAAAAAGAAGAAATTATATAAAAACAAAACAACAGCTACATTATAAAAGTGTAAAATACTAAAAACAGGAACATGTTTGCGTTGACTTTTGCCATGAAGTTGTTTAAAATCCCTAAAGAAAGGTCCAAGTCGACAACTTCAGATCTTTTTGCAGAGTGTTCCAGGTTACAGAGTAAGAGAAGGCCTTTTTTTTGCTGAGTTTGGTCTGCACTGAGGATATACTGCAAGTAATTATGTCCTGAGAGCGCACGCTGTAGCTGCACTGATGAAGTCACATGCAGGAGGAAATATATGAAGGCAGCAGGTACAGTGTACAATCAGAAACTGTTCTTATTGAGGAAAACGACCATGTCTGCCTTCTCAGGCAGCATGTGTGAGCGTTCTGGACTGAGTGCGTCTCCTGCAGTGGAGAACACACGTTCGCTGGGAGTAGACGAAGCTTGAACGCATGAATATGATAAAGCGAGATCTGACAGCAACGGGTAAGCCTTGCGTTGCTTCCACCACCATGCAGCAGGGTCCTCAGACATACTGGTCGCTGGAACTTTCTGGTACAGCTGCAGCTCTCTCTCCGCTCGTTTCTTAATGGACATGGAGCTCTTCAGCGACATTAAGAGCTGTGCATCTTCCTCTTCAAAAAGCTCCTCCAGTGGAGTCTTTCTGGACAATTTGCAGAGAGGCGGTTCCTAAACAAACAACAGGTTCATCAGTATTCTCACTAAACATTCATTAAAGTCATGACCATTATTAAAATTGAGAACCTATACCATTTCAGCTATCATACACATCTCCTCCTCTTCCTTCACTCCCTCATTCTCAGACTTCACAGTGACCCCATGATCTCCACAGTCTTTCTCTGTTGACTACAAAAGAACATTACTAGCATTTAGATTTCAGATTTTAACAGCTGGAAAGGACAGGTGTGCATGAATGACATTTCACCTGCTCAATCAGCTTTCGCTGAATCTGGTCCCAGACACCGTCATCCACCTTCTTTTTAAAGCGCGGATCCAACGCAGTGGCCACTTGGAGAAAGTTCCTGATCTCATCATTCTGCAAAAACACACTCTTAAAATGTTTGATCAAGCCACAGGAACAAAGATAGTTCTATTCTTCATTAATTTCTTTCCCGCTGCCAGCCTCAGTCACTTACCTGGTAGTGCTCGGATAGGTTTGCCCAAATCTGATTTTTAAGGTTGGATACAAACACCGTGTCTCCCTCTTTCACGGTCAGATGTGCCTCAAGCTTCTGGAGAATGGGCAGTATCTGTCCGCACGTGGCACCCTTTTCTGAAGACACGCATGTGCACGTGTAGAGAAGTTTCATAAGATTTGTTAAGTCTTCTGCTCTCCGAAAATCCTCCTCAGTCAGCTGAGCAAGGCTGTATGAAAAAAGAACACAGAACACACAGAGCTGTGTTATAAATAGGTTTATTTCTATAAAACCCCTAGCTAGGCCTGTCACGATAACAAATTGTGCGGGACAATTAATTGTCTCAGAAATTATTGCGATAAAAAATAATATTGTTTGAAATTAGACAATAATCAATAATTATTGTCAAATTTAAGAAGAAATGTTGGTTAATTTGTGTGTTGTACCGTTTTTGGACCACTGGATGGCAGTATAAGACTAAAGGATGGATAGTGAGGGAGCGAGCAGCGTATTGCTATGAAAAATGGGAGGGAGGCCCATTGACGTGACATGGGCTGTCTCTCGTTGCTGTTTTCCGGTTCTCAAAATGGAGGGCCCTCGGTGTGGTTTGAGCTCTGTAGCATAGCGTTTTTCACACAAAGATTTTAATTTAAAAAACAAAAAACAGCTAAAAAGTTCTCAGCTTCTTTTTTCAGAGAAAAACAACTTTTTAGACAAAGGCACGGGTTTTAACCTTGAATTTTGGAGCTTTGACAAGAGAAAGAGGTTTTTTCCCCCGAGGTCAGCCTGTTAGCTTAGCTTCTCAGATTAGCTGCTTTTAATGATCCAAAAACGCGATTTTGGACAGTTAAAATAATTTTAAAGCGAAAAGAGAAAGGAAAGGGTCAGTGAAGAACACTGGAGTTGAGCCTTTTGTCATCCAGTGTCTTCAGAAGAAAGAGACACGAAGAAATGATAAAGCCGATAAATGAAAATGACGTTGATAATTTTCATTTATCATACAATTAATAGATTTATTGTGACAGGCCTACTAACATAGGCACTCTCTACATTAGCACATAGTCTATCATAGTGACAGCTCTATGTAGTAAGTCTGAGGCAAGACAATCCACTGATGCAGTGTATTCACTCCTATAACATTGAAATTCACATTTTGTGTGTATTGGTAGTTTTTGTGTCTAAGCTTCATATGTCAGGATCAAATATCTTATCCATCTCTACCTGTCTCTTTCCATATTCTTGCTCAGCCGTTGATCCAAGCTGGTTGCTAGAATTGCAGGGTACTGCTCTGTGAATCTCTCCAGCATTAGGTAAAAAGAATCCCAGCGCGTTCCCACATCTAGAATGAGCGAGTGTCGGGGCAGCTCTGATGGAAACAAGAACATTAATTTTAAGTCATTTAGCAGGTGCTTTTCATCCTAGGAGACAAACATTGTATTTAAAATATTGTAGTACTACTCCCCAGTACTCAGAAATAGTAATAATAATAATAAAAATGTCTATGTTAATGTCATAAACAATGCACAGCAGTTAAATAAAGTGAAGTTTGTGTTTCTTACTTAAAAGTTCTTGCTTCTCCCGGAGAACCATCTTTGCCACCAAGCACCTCTTCATCCACACAACAATGGTTCGGACCTTGGCTACCCACTGATTCAATGAATCTACGGCGTACAGACGTTGTGTTGCTATATTAAGAGTGTGGGCAAAGCAGCATATTTTCACCAACTGCAGCCGTTTAATGGCCTCATCCATACTGGCAGCATTATTTACAGTGATTGCCACAACTTTGTCAAAAATGCAGAACTCTGTCAGGATGTTACTGATTTCCTCTGCCACTACACCACCAGTTTGAGCTTCGTAAACAGCTTTTGTTTTTAGTACTTTCTGCTGCAGTTTGCCCTCTACTGTGTAATGTGCTGTGATGGTAAGGTAATGGTCCTGTGTGATGCTACTCCAGCCATCACATGTGAGTGCAACAGAGCTGACGTCACTGAGCTCTGTGATCACACTGGACTTCTCCTCCGTATACCAAGAAGGGATTAACTTGTTGGATAAGCAGTCCCTGGTAGGTGGCGTGTACATGGGGTTGAGGGTTTTCACCAAGTCCCTGCAAACATGTAAACAAACATTAATGTCACTTACTGTAACGTTAGCACTGTCGATTAGCTTAGCTTTATCGTTAACCAACCTAAATCTTGGTGATTCCACCTCTGACAAGGGACGCAACATTTTCACAATATACTCCATAACCTTTCTGTGACACTCGTTAATTTGCTGCACCGACATCTTTTCCTCGGACTCTATGATGAACGGAGCACAAGGCTGAGTCTGGTCAGCTGTTTGGCTAACATTAGCCATTTCTGGTCGTTTTTCTATGAAAAAAAAAAAAAAAAACATAGGCTAACGTTAGCATGGTGTTTGCATTTAAGTTGACTTACCGCTTTAAGTCGAGTATAACTTGTTAGCTGCCTTGATGTTGGTATATGACGTAGTTTATTATAGTTTTACTTACCTGATGCTGACTGCAGTGCGGTAGGCTGACGGTTGGAGCGGGAGGAGGCAGGTCTGCGCAGCGCGCAAATGACAGTGCACGGTGTTATTTCTATACCATGAACCCGGAGGTGTTTCATCATGTTGGTCGTGCACCCTCCTTTGCACGATATAAACTTACTGCAAGTCTTGCACTGAGCCGACTGGGCAGTTCTTCTATTGAAGTTAAGCCACACTTTCGATCGTGGCGGCCGCCTCCACTCGCTGTCCATGGCAACGCGCGCTTCCTACAAATTCTTCTTCGTTGGTGTTCGGCGACTTCTTCTTCCGGTCAGCGGAATAACTTTTTGTTAGAACTTTATTTACAACAAAATCTAGAACAACAGAAAAAGCATGACTTAAAACAATAAATTTTTAGATATCTGTTCTGAGATGATTGTAGCAGTTTTACAGTTTTTTAATCTACTTAATGAAGAATAGTATGACTTAATTTTTTTAATGAAACGGGAAGCAGGACTTATTATCCCTCCTCTTACTACAGTGAGTGAATGTGATACTTTCCAAAAAAGTTCAATCTGGTCCTCTGGACATTCAAAAAAACAAAAGCAAAACAAAGCAAAAAAAATTCTAGAAACGTTTTGTCTCTCATCCAAGAGACTTCCTCAGTCTGAGGTGCTGTTTTCAGCTCAGTCTCTTAAATAGCACCTTCTCAGAGTGGATCAACCAGTTTGCTGCTGACAACCAAAACCAGCTGATCACATGCTCAAGAAGGACCATCAGCCTAACAATGGATCATTAACACACTGATGGCTGTTTACTGTTCACAGAGGGCTGAGTGATACTAGCAATCACAGCATTGTAAGAGGGGGACAGTTGAACCCGGAGGCCTCCACCCCTGTTTAATGATGGACGATTTCTTTTCACAAAGATGGCCTCCTTTACTCCTCTCTCAAACCATCGTGATACTTTGCTATAAATATGACTACAGTATATTTATGGCATCAGAGAAAGCTGAGCTTAAATTATCCATATAAATAAAATGGTATCAGCATCAAAAGAAAGAATGTTAAGTTTGCGATTAATCCAGTTTCTGATGTCTGTCAAAACATTTTGAGAATATCGACATGAAAAAACAAATTCTCGAGGGATTCATCAGCATCAAATTTAAATCTTCTTTACAGAAGCATGGCTACAGGATATATTTTATTTATTATTTTTAAATGATTCTCCTTCACCTTAGGAGCTATAGGCCATTTGATAAATTTAGAATGAGCAGAAGTCATTATGGTTTTATGACTTGAGGTTTCTTGAAGAATCATTGTAATCACAGTAAATCCTTTGTCGCATATGTTATTGATAATCTTGTTATTGCATTTGAATTCAACTAATTACAGTCATTTAATTTTTTTGTGAGCATCAAAATGGTCACCTTTAAATATATATAATTATTTTAATTAACTGAATCAATGGATGGATGGATGGATGGATGGATGGATGGATGGATGGATGGATGGATGGACT